GGACCTCTTGTGCGTTGGCTGAAAGTGAATTTCAGTGAAGCATTTATTGCGTGGATTCATGTGAAAGCGCTAAGAGTCTTTGTGGAGTCCGTTCTCAGGTGAGGCCCAAAGAGATCATTGCTGCTGAAGCCCATGGGACCTCCTTCTTGGACAGAGTCTGCAGGGGACATGGGCTTGGGCAAAGCCTCGGGCTGGGGTCTCAGCCTCTTGGCATCTCTGCCACATCCTCAGCACTGGGATAGGAGAGATGGTGTGCCGTAGCGCCTCAGTGGAAATGAGAGTTGTGGGTGTGGCCACTGTGTCCCCTAGGGGCGGTGTCTGTCATCAGCGCTGTCATCAGAAGGTGTGTGCTCTAAAGTAATAGTAGAGAGTAGTGAATACCAAGCCTGGAGCAGTCCCTGGTGTCCAGTGTCGTGTGTCCCTGCTCAGTTCCCTGGAGTCCTGCATCTGTGCCCAGTGTCTCCATGCTGCCACGTGTGCAGCGTGATGGCTGTGGCCTCCTTTGGACCCAGGAGCCCCTCTGCGCCATCAGGGTCTCGTAAGGTCACTGTTTACATTTGTTCAAGTTTTTAAAGTGAAAGTAGCCTCATGTTGTTTATTAGAGAAGTAGCTGCCGAAGGTGTCCTGTGTGCCTTTGATGTGGAATAGAGACTGAGGCCAAGTTACCGAGTTCTGGTGGGTGGCATGGACTGGCACCGCCTGGGTCCGGTGGGCGTTGGTCATTGCAGCAGGGTCATTGCTCCCAGCCTTCCTGTGCTGCGGGCATCTGCGCTGACGGTGCGCTGTCTGTCCATCCGTCCCTTCCTCCCAGGTATGGCTTGCCTGTGAACTTCCAGGCGATGCTGCTGCAGCCCAACAGGAAAACCATGAAGCGCCTGCGGGAGGTGCTGCATGAGCTGTACAAGCACCTGGACAGCAGCGCGGCCGCCATCATTGACGTGAGTGTGGCAGGGCAGCGCCTGCGGCTCCCCTGGCCCATGATGCACCGCAGAGCCGTGGGACGGAGAGGGCAGGGGCAGAGTGGGCAATGCGGTATTGAAGGGGAGCCAGGGCCATCTGCCAGCCTTTGCAAGGATGCAGTCATTTTTCTAAAATAGTTTCTTTTCGCCCCAGTTCCTTCCTTCCTTCCTTCCTTCCTTCCTTCCTTCCTTCCTTCCTTCCTTCCTCCCTTCCTTTCTGTATCAGGGATCGAATTTGGGACCTTGCGCATGCCAGGCAGACACTTATGCTGCTAAGCTGTCTCCCCAGCCCTTAAAATGGTTTCTTTTATTTATTTTATTTTTTTGGCGGAACTGGGGAATTGAACTCAGGCCCTTGTGCTTGCCAGGGAAGTGCTTATTCCACTGAGCCATCTCCCCGGCCCCTAAATGGTTTCTTTTAAATAAGCTATAAACGATGTATTTTTGCCAGGCACGGTGTTACACACCTGTCATCCCAGTACGCGGGAGACTGAGGCAGGAGGATCACTGCCAGTTCGAGGCCAGCCTGGGCTGAAAGTGAGCTCAAGGCCAGCCTGAACTGCAGAGCAAGACCTTGTCTCAGAGACGACAACAACAACAACAGAGTGTGTATTTTAAAAATTGCTGTTGTTTAGCCTTGTGGGCTTTTATGTATTTGATTTTCTACATCTTGCTGATTCCCCCCCCCCACACACACACACACGAGACTCTCACAGGTGCGTTGATTAGAATCTTCTTTGCGGGGTACCTGGGATTGAATCTGGGACCTTGCATTTGCCAGGCAGGGGCTGTGCCACTGAGCTATCTCCCCGGCCCTAAACAATATGGAACACTTCACGAATGTGTGTGTCCTCCTTGCGCAGCGGCCGCGCCAGTCTTCTCTGTCGTTCCAGTTTGGGTATACATGCTACTGAAGCGAGCACTAGAATCTTAGCTTTTCTGGAAAGTGAAGTGCAGATAGTAAGTCTGGCTGACTGATACATGTGCAGGAAAAACTGCACTGGCTTCTTTTCTGGTGTGTGTGTGTGTGTGTGTGTGTGTGTGTGTGTGTGTGTGGTGAGGGTAGAGTGTCACTAACCCAGTACTTTCAGCCCAAGATTTAAAAAGGTTTTGAGGTCTGCACATGACAGGACTCGGCGACGGTTATGCCCACACGGGCTTTGGAGCTGGCCCCAGAGAGGTGGGCCTTTCCTCCTCACGCTCGAGTAGCAGGGCTCTGCGTGTCACCCAGTGGGGTGCCCCATGAGGACCAGGGCAGCGCGCCCTTCCAGGCGCGGCACACAGCTGTGTTTCTGGTTGCTCCGCAGGCCCCGGTGGACATTCCTGGCCTCAACCTGAGCCAGCAGGAGTACTACCCCTACGTGTACTACAAGATCGACTGCAACCTGCTGGAGTTCAAGTAGCGCCTGCTCCCGGCTGGCCCTGCGTGTATCGGTGTGTGCTAGGCTCCAACCGTGTACTTTTAACTCTTGCTTGCTCCTCCCCTTCCGTGGGTGAGTTCTTCTGTAGTGCTCCGTGTCCCAGCATTTTCTTTTTAAGGGGGAAAAAATACATATATATATAT